GGGAGGCGACGGGGTCGGATAAATTCCGCTCTTGAGAGGTGGCCAGAGGGATCGAATGGGAGGGCAGGGCGGGGCAGCGCCGGTGGAAAGGTGCAGACCTGTCAGCGCACGTCCCACGCCACGTGGACTTGCCTTTGTCCGTGGCTGCCTTTTCCATCAGGCCGCGAGGACAGGGGTTGTGCCTTATTTGTCTCTGTCGCGTGCAGTGCTGGGCACGGAGTTGGGGCTCAGTAAGTTCTTGCTGAATGAGTGAATGAATGAATGACTGAATGTGTGTGTGTGTGTCTCGGTAGGTATGGAGGACATTTACAGTATAAATGGTATGAGTATAGAGACAGTTTGTGGCTTGTTTGCCCATTTTCTCCTGGGGAATCCATGCTTGTCTCGAGCTTCCACCGGGAGTTCTTCGCCAGTCCTTGGGTTTTGTCTCTTTTTCTTGAAGGGGCAGGGCGATTACGACTCAGGACATTTTCTTTGCTCTTACTGAATGCTAGGCCGTGTGGCTAGGTACCAGGGACAGACACAGGAACAAACCGTCCCTGTATACAGGCCGCAGACCAGTGGTGGGACGGAAACACAAACAGAAATTAAAATATATTAAGGTGCTATAATAAGAGGTTAACTAAAGTTCGGGAAGATAGAGCCGGGAGGTGGTGTGGCTGTCCTCATTAGGGATTGTCTTTCAAGGTCAGGGGCCTCCTCCTTCCCCATCTTGTGAAGGCAGAGAAGGTCATGAGCCCAGTCTTCTCTGTAAAAGGCAAGGTCTGGGATGGACGTTCGCTGGGCCTCTTTCCTGCATGATGTCCCATCTCAGATATTACTAACGGCTCTAGTTCTCCCACCATCCACCTTTTACCGGTTTGTCTGAATATTCATTATGTCTTATGATGTGGCATAAATTGTATCGGGTTGGGAAATCAGGATTTTGGACCTCATTCTGGTGCTCTAGATTTGTTTGTTTGTAAAATGAAGAGGATTATAATGAAATAGTCTCTAAGACCCCTTCCAGTTCTAATACCATGATTGTGGCAGTAGGTCAAACTGTTTTGTTCTACCTTAGGCCTGACCCCACTTTATCACTGTTGTTTCCCTTCTCTGAATAATTCACAAAGACAGTGTGTCTTTTTTTTTTTTTTTTTTAACATCTGTGTTCTGACACAGTATTGGGTACAAAACAGATGCTTAGGGACACCTGGGTGGCTCAGTCGTTAAGCGTCTACCTTCGGCTCAGGTCATGATCCCAGGGTCCTGGGATCGGGTCCCGCATCGGGCTCCCTGCTCTGTGGGAGGCCTGCTTCTCCCTCTCCCACTCCCCCTGCTTGTGTTCCCTCTCTTGCTGTGTCTCTCTCTGTCAAATAAATAAAATCTTTAAAAACAAACAAGCAAAAAACCAAAATAAATGCTTAATAGTAGCTTTTAAGTCAAATGGGATAGAAATAATAGCCCCTGCTTTTGGACCCTTGCCCACCCTGGGATATTAGTTCAGGGATAAGGGGACTGAGGAGAAATTGGGTTTTTTGTTTTTCCTTATTTTTTTTTTTTTGCTTAGGGAAAAGTCTTTTTTTTCGCCCCTTAGGAACATTTTTTACACATGTGCTATCCCAGAGTTTTTTCAGTGCAGCACCTTGTGGTGAACACATTCATACACAGCAATAGCACACTCTTCCTTTTCTTTTTTATTTATTTATTTATTTATTTATTTGACAGAGAGAGAGACAGCGAGAGAGGAACACAAGCAGAGGGAGTGGGAGAGGGAGAAGCA